CCGTGTAAAGCAGTCGGAATCTAACATCACAGAGTGGTATACGAAATGTGTACTACACAAAATGCATAAAATTATCTTCAATTTTCATACAGCAGTGGGAGCACAAACTTATTTAGATATGGACGTATGCTATACTGTAATGTAAAACTAAACATAAAATATTGGCTAATGGCTGATAATTTTATTAGAATACGTGAGGGAGAGACCTGTTTGTGTCATTCGTCAAATAGGTAAAGATGGGCTGTTTCTGACTATCATATATCAGTAATTCTCCCGTCAGTCGGGATTTTTCTGTGCTTTCGAGAGCTCGTGCTCTTTTGTTTTTGTTGTCGACATTTTTTCACTCGTCGACTTTTTTGCTGGTTCGCATTTGATGCGCATTATCATGCGAGCCCGTGATGTTGAGGTTATTACATCTCAAGTTTCAGTTCCGGTCGACACAGATGACTGTCGCTCACGATCGCTACATCAAAGAACAGCATAGTATTCAAAGGTGAGCTACGCCTCAACTTTCCACGTAAATTTTCTGTAACAAACTGCACATAACTTCACTACACTCTTAACTTAACGTTAGCTTTCACAATAAAACATTACAAGTGCCCCGCCCCCCCCCCCCCCCCCCCCCAGAGCAGCAGCGCTCATCTAACTTCTACTGCGTGACGTCTGTGGTGGAGTGGTGCGGAGTTCTAGTAACCCTGTTAGCCCAAATGTGTTACATCACACGCCGAAACAGTGGTGTAAGCACAAGGATGGTATCAGGACACCTTCTAAAAAATGTTCGTTGGGCATCTCGTTATGAAAGGGGCCGCACCGGCAGATGGGCGCGTACGCGTTTAAGTGTCTTCAGATTAAAGACTGGAAGCTCCCAATCATACGTGAGTAGCAACAAACTATTGCCTCGCAGACAGAATAGGATACACTCATCCAGTTTACCTACGCAAGTGTAAGGCGGCCAAATTGCATAATTAGAGAGCTGACCACCTTGATAAGCAGATTAGACGCTAGGACATAAAAATGCACCAACACGATGCATAGTTGGCAGCAGACCACTCGCTCCAGTGGCCAGTTACCGCGGGGCGGCTCGGGCGCGGCGATCTTACAGGAACATATCTGACGGTAGCAGAATGACATAGACGCGTTGGCCAATTATACTGATTTAAGGACAACACTTCACTTTAACCAAAATTTAGCTATGTGTGAAATTATCACTGTGAACCATTGTAGCCTCATTACGATCCAGGGCATGTATACAGTTCTACTTACTCAAACCCGGCGTCATAAATTCTTGTCATATCACGACACGTCAAACAAATTCCCAAGTTTAACCCTCCTCTTGGAGGGTTCAAAGGGTAATCTCGCACTCTACTCTTCGCAGTCAGCAGAAGGGATATTTCATCGGTCCTTTGCATATAAACGCCATAAAATACTAGGTCACCGCTGAAACAAAAATAATGTTTTCAATCCGCTCCGGTCAGAATCCGATGTCCTCAGAAATGCTTGAAAATCTTGCCTGTGCACTGATCCTTTTGACCTGGACTCAATTTCGGCACAGTGATGTTCTCCCTACCATCGATGCATACACCGACTATCCACGAGCCTAGGTCGAGGCCGTTAGATTGTACCGCAATTCTGCATTTCCTCCGTATTACCCTTAAGTTAGGAGTGAATGTGTCCCCTTCTTTTGACACCTCTTGACCGTTTGACCTTTAGACCCAGGCTTCGACATCCCAACTCGCTTTCGGAATTACGCCCATCTTCCGGAAGGTATCGTGACGGTACTGTCGAGCGGTTAAAGATTTGTGCCCAAACTGTTGACGCCGGACGGACGGACGATCATGCGATTCTACAAGCTGCATACTGAATATGTCAAATATGAGCTAAACAATATGTATCAAGCTATATTTGCTCTCAACGAGAAACAACTTCGATAACGGTTCCGATATAATACTAATTAGCCGGCCAATAACTATAGCCCAAGCTATGAGCAATCAAACAACAAGATTTCTCTGCCGGCGTCTAGCTAAGCTGTGCCGTCGCATACACCTCTTTTGACACCTCTTGACCTTTGACATATTGCCCCCAGCTTCGACATCCAACTCGTTTCGCGGATACCCCTCCACAGATCTCTCGAATGATTCGTGACCTACGTCAGCGGTTAAGATTTGTGCCCAACTGTATTGCACGGACGGACGGACGGATATGTCAGATGAGCTAATAACTATTATTTTATTGCTGTAATCACCTGGGGGCCATGTCAGAAACATCGTAAATGTTAACTGCTACGATACACTTCATACGTTAATGCTAATTGTTGCGAGACTAGCTGTTGACAGAAACACGATCGCAGCCTATTAGAAACTTACGGATACGGAAACTCATCACAAGGCTGCTAATTCGGTATGAGACATCAACTCATACAAGAATTCAAATTCATACACATTCGTATGGTACATCACAGTGAATTTATGCATATTAGTGTATGAAAACACGCACGTGGTCTGATTGTATTCTGCACAACAAGACAAAATGTCTCACACTGTATACGCGAGACGTTGAGAATCCGTGGCAAGCCGTGGAAAATGACCTTTAGAACAGAGAAACAGAATGCCATACGGGCCTTTGTAATGTAATTTGTGTTTTGGTTTTATTTGCGGTAGACTAATTAATGATTTTTCTGAGTGTTTTTCAGGAAAAACACACATTTTATTCATTATGTCATACTCTAAAAATATAATATCACTATAATTGAATTCGTTAGTGTACAATGTGCTACTTTCAACTTAATATTAAAGTTGAGAGGGTCTGGGCTCTGCGTAATGCTTATGAGGATATTTGCGAGATTTTTCGTTCTCGTAACCTTACGAAGATTTCTGTTCAACGCGTTTACGAGTGGAAGTTAATGCGTAAGATCCTAATGAGTAATGTAGTAATGAGTAATTGGTTGCCGACTGAATTCTTGTTTCTGACAACGGCCCGCTGAATTTCAGTGACTGTGTCTGTAGGCAGTTCCAATTTCGACATGACTACATGAGCAAGAGTCAACTGTGCAAGTCTGAGCCGAGGCTGCGGCCGGGCAGTGTGAACTTGTTGACGGTCAGTGTCATGGCGGTCTGGAAGGTATTAGGTCGATAGAGATGTCGCGCACGTGACGTGGTACTGGTAAGCCTCACGTTACGCGTTACGTTGCACTAGTTTAGTAGTTGGTGGGTTATCTGCTTTAGGGTGGATAGTGACACTAGCAAAAACGAGTGAACCGACTGTCACGTGATCACTGACTATCGATTGTTCACTTATGTGCATGAACATGTTTGAGTGGTAAGTCTGGTTCAATTTCCAAATATAATCATTACACATGATACATTTCACTGTTTACAGGTTACACCCTCGGCGCTGGCTGCGCGTAACAAGGGAACGAGCAATAGTCCAGTACTATGTGGAGGGCCTTTTTTGCAAAGACACTTTGCTTGCAAAGAACTTATAATATTTACGCATTCCGATCAACTTTACAGCCTGTTCCATTTACGAAATCACCAAAATTTTCTGTGTGCGATAACACCAATATTAAAACATCATCTAACTGTTCGGCGCGATATTTTGTGTATATCATCATGGCGTGCGTTTGTGACGTCATCTTGCTCACTGTTGGCATGTAGTGCATTTAGTGCATTTACCTCGTGTTACTAACAGTTTATGCAGGCAGAAGAGCGGGAATTTCGCCCGTGCTGAAACTATTACTTTTTAGAAGTTTTTTCGTCAATCTTATAGCGTCTGCTCATCTTATCATTTTTTGCGTTTCTATAGGGAAACATTTCTATCCGAATTCTAGACAAACATTGACTGTATCTGGGTAATCAAATCGACTGAACTCCCTTGAACTTCGCAACGCACTAGGGCAGCAAGAACCACTCTCGGCTGGCAGGCTACAGCACACACACGGCCTTTGTGCTAATATATAAGCAAATATCTATATATATTAAATTATATATATATATATATATATAGTATTATATTATATATTATATATTATATATATATATATATATATATATATTATATATAAGATTATATTAAAGAAATATATTACATTATGTATTACATTTATATCTATTAATATTATTTATAATATGATTTTTATATATATCATAAATAAGATGATATTATACTATAAATATATTAAATAAACTCTATATAATTATTAAATATATTATATCTATGATTAGTATATTATATAGAATACTATAATATACTATATTACTATTATGACGTCATTAATATATATATATATATATCATATATATATATTATATTATATATTCACACCTATACGTTCTAAGTTATATATATATGAATATATATTATATATAAATATTATATATAGACAAATGGTTAATATATAGACAAAGCCGTGTGTGTGCTGTGGACTGCATGCAGCGGGAGTGGGTTCTTGCTGGTCTCAGTGTTCGCAACCTGGAAACCCTTTGACCCCGCGGTAGCGCCACCTCTGTAGTGCCGCTGGACTATGATATTCATGGTGTGTGTGGTGTTGGCAATTTTGCTATTTTATGTTTGAGTCATCAGTGTATAAAATACCGAGATGTCTAACATATTTAGACGTTAGTAATTCGAATACACATTTCTGAAGAACACCCATCATATTTGTGAGTGTACATATTTATTCGATCGGCCGGGATTTATGCACATCATTCACGTGTAAGTGTTAGTACTGGTTACTGTTACTGTTGGTTAGTGTTTAACGCCTTTACGGTTCATGCCTTACGGCGATAGCCACAGGCCACTTGAGCGTATCAACTGTAAACATACGGCGCCGCCATTGCTGCGTACACTAACTACATAATAATAGCATGCTTCAGTGCCTGTGGCTGATAGCCTATCACGCTTTAGCTCTGTAGTCATGGCTGATGGTGACGCTCCTATAGTCCCCGGGTTACTGCCGAATTTTACCCTGGGTAACGGTCCGGTGATATACCGGAACGTACTGATATACTATATTACTCATGGCGCGGACCGTACCTAGGTGACCCTACCTCACTACGAGTCTAGGGATCGCCTACGCCTACTCCCTAACCCGATACTGGCCGAACCCTAAATTCTAACCCTAACCCTAACCCTGTACCCTAGATCCTTAACCCTAAAACCATATCAAATAAGTGACCATGGGTTACGTTCTGGTATACCGTCGACCGTGTATCCCAGTACGTTCCGGCAGGTACCCTGGCGTGGAGCATAGACCCTTATGAGTTTAGTGCAGTGGAGTTGTTGCTGAACAAGCGGGGCGCTCGTTGTTCGTATATCACTCACATATAATGATGGTACCTACGCGTGTCGGCGTGTATTGGGCGGCCTGCGCCTAAGCCACCTAACCCTAACCCTAAAACCCTAACCATATCAGATAGTTACCTCGGGTACATATCGACAACGACCCTTCGTGCCTTAGTTTTATGGTGCAATCATTGAATCAGTGAATCACAAACCTACCAGAAACCACAAGCACTTGAAACATTTTAATGATAAAATGATGATAAATAAACACGAAATATATTTACGACCAAAGGCTTTATATTACTATGTTCTCTATCGACGAGTAATTCCAGGTAAATGTTGTTCAATTGCTCCTCTGCACAAAGTCTCTCCACACGCTCGACAGTCTGCCAGCGGGTATACCGCGCGAAGCGGCGGGTCGGCGCACTGTTGGCGCGCCATTTCAGATAACTCGCTGTCTATATTAAAAGCGCAATTTCAATGGTTATGTCAAAATGGGGCTGTAGATCGGGCGCAATTCAGGAGTTGTGGCGCTTGCCACAACTTTGTGATAGGCGTAGGCGAGAATAACTCCAAATGCTCGAAATTGCTACGTTGCTTGTTGGCGCGGCGTCGAAAAATGTGCGCTGAGGAAAAATAATTTCCTTTTACGCTGGATCATGCCTGGACCACTTAACCTCTCGGAGTTATCCGCGAACCATAGATGGCCGCACGAGTCATCTACGTACCCATTTTCCAAGTTTTTTTTTAACAAAGACCCGCGCTGCGGATGATGACCTAAGCTGCCCCGACGCGAAAATCGTCGTTTAACACGCTAGCGTAACTCACTTCAGTATCGCCAAACGATAGTTGGCTGACGTGAAGGGTCGTTTACCAGTCTACTTGGGGCTTTTATTATCGTAGCCATCTTGAGTTTCTTTAGATCTGGAATATTTAATTCTGCTACCAGTCGCAATTGGACACAGAGCCTGCACGTGATTTATGGTTGTGGAGCTCCGGTACTATCTACATGTGTATGCTGTGCCATGCACAAGTGCGTGCGGGGCTATGTCGTTGCCATCAGTGTGTATTTAACGGTGTCTGACAGTGAAGTAATTTAGGTGAAATCAAAATTAAGTGACTACTTGTGGTACTGAGTACTAGTCTACTGACAAGTTGGGGTGATTTATTAACCAGTATGTTTTGATTAGCATTAGTTAGAGTAGGGCTATACTAGGAAAACCAGCTACAATTTCGTAGTAAATAGCATTTCGTATTTACGTACTAGCATTATATTTTATTTGAAACGCTGAAGTGCGCTGTGTCTAGTATAGCTAGGGGCTATTCATATGGCCTCCGACCGCTCTCTCGCGCCGCCCCATGGCAAAGAGCGTTTCTTGGCTAGTTCGTAGTAGTCAGTAAGCTACTAGGGGTTCAAGGATAGAGAACATGGGCTCCAAGATTATGATCATGGGCCCCAATGATATCGGCATGCGCATAAAGACCAATGTCCACTCTACATCAAGTACTAAAGTATAGGCATATTATATCAATAAATAGGTTAGCGGTTTATGGTGATATGGGTTGTCATTTATTCAGTAACTGTTAATTTGCTAGTTATTACACGAGTTCCTCATTATTACTTTACTATGTTGTAATTACATGAGAGACTGGAGCGATCAGACGAAAATGACTCCTGCGGTCGCTGGTAGTTACTAGTACTGAGTAGTAGTTACTAGTAGTGCCTGGTAACTTAGTAGTACTACTACTACTAGTACTAGTAGTAGCTACTCGTTAGTGAGTAATTAGTGTATACATGTAACTTGTAGTAAATACAAGTGATGTAGCGTAGCCGTTAGGCGTGTGTGGTGAATGTAACTACCAGCTAAAAAGAAGGGTCAGAAATATCTACTATGCGCGGCGGCCGCCGCCACAGGCACTTCGTACCGTTTTCCAATAAAATATAATGTTAGAGCTATAATGACGAACATCGTATTTTATACGAAATTGTTAATGTTCTAGTATAGGCCTACTCTCTGTTCAAGAAGAGTTGCCGAGGTGCAAAGGCTATATATAGACTAGGACTCGTCCACCTGCGATTAGCCATTGACTGACTAAGCGAAGGCCGAGAGGTGGCAGGCTAAGCCGAGGAGGTGCGAGCAGAGTGCCAGTCTATTGGCTATAGGCGGCGGTCAGCGGGCGCACTGCTTCCCAACTCCCGTACGAGGCCTCGCCATTGGAACAGTTGCAGAAACGTTGGAAGCGTCTGGGGCGCGAGAAGAGCGCCGGTAGGTGTTTCACTGATTGCTGACAGCCGTTTTCCATTACTGGGCAAGGGTTCGCGAATGTCAGAATTTCGACAAGTTTCTGTGATTTCGCGTGATCACAGCTCGTTACGAACACATTACTCGCGTTATCACTTTTATGAAAGTGAAACACTGTTCATCGGTCGCCACAATGTTACCCTATGTGCCCCACACTAAATTGGCGGACTGTTCGCGCTGCAGCTATGGATCGTGGCTGCCCGCCAATTCAATTCGGGCGCACGGGATGCCAGTAGCTGCCAGCGTCTGCATTACTGTCGCGTAGGACGTTCCGCGTCGCGTCGCGCCTGTGCCGCGGAACTCGCGCGAAAGATTGCTGCTCGCTTCAGCGCTTCGGATCAACATCTCGTTTCGGCAACGCTTCTCTAGTATCCCGTCTTATCTGGCTGCTGTGTGGCAAGCCAGCGGCAACCGTACGCGGGCTATATAGTTACTAGAGCTATGCTGTCGAGCTTCTGTTCAAAACTTCAACATTCGAATTTCTATTCGTGCCAGCAAGCATTAGGTCGACAGAGCATACATTTACAGGTCTACACGTTGGTAGTCTGCGTGTGTTAAATGCAATTTTAATACGTCATAGGAATACGTACTGTCACTGAGTCTGACAACTGGTCCTAATCCTAGTTAAAAACCACGAATTTAAAAACGGTTATGTATCGCCGAAAGATGGCGCCACTTTGTCTAAATACAGTGAGTAGCAACTGAGTATAATATATTTACATAATATACTAGTAATACAACGGCGCAGGGATTTATGCACATGCATTAATTACTGGCAGAAGCCACCACATAATTCTCCTAATTTCATTTTTAAAATGTTAAGAAAGATAGTGCTCCCATAGTTATTAAATGCACATTTCTATAGCCATGTCACAGGCAAGCACTATTGACTTGGCACCCTCTACATTTCAATATTGAGGGTAGTGCTAGTAGTAGTAGCAGTAGTAGTTGTTGTAGTATAATCTATAACACACATCAGCCACTGTACCTGTCACTTATATTTTAGTAGTAATTGTATTTTTTTTATTTTTTAGATCTGCTGTGGTCACAGTTATAGGTAAGTGCATCATCAGCATGTGCACCAATAATGGCATATATACTTCTGCATGCAGTACCAAGCTTATAGAGAACGCTTTCAAAACTTGCCACATGTGTCAAAAGCATATGCACCTCAAGTTGTGTGTTTATTTTACATCTCACCTACACCAATGACACGTTTTCATTAGCATTGTGTATGGGACCCTGTTGAAATAATTAAATGAAGTACTAGTATTGTTAGACTCTGCCTTATATTCCTCTAGAAAAGCATCATGCATATAGGCTTCTAGGTTACAATTCTTTCGGTAAAATTGTGGCTAGAAGCTAGATCTCGTCATTATTTCTTCATTTCAGCACATCTGCCGACGATGACTATGAATTCCTGCAGCGTAGCATCGTACCCACGATGCACTTTCAGCCCAGTCTGCCAAGGTTACCCATTCCAGAACTCCCAAAGACCTGCGAGCGATATCTTATTGCTCAGCGCCCCCTGCTGGCAGACGAAGAATATAAGCAGACGGAGAAGGCTGTGTTGGCATTTAAGGAGGGCATAGGGAAAGGTAAACAAAATGGTAGTAGAGAAAAGGACGGGAAATGTAGTTAAAGATAGCGAAAGGAAATCAAAATGAGCAATTTAAATAGATCCGGAAAGACTGCAAAAGCATTGCGTAAAAATAAACAAAATAAAATTATGAACTCGTCCAACGATTAAACTTATCCAAGTCGATCGATGAGCAAGGTTCAAACTACCAGCTCATTCTCTGTTGCCACGGTGACACAGCCATAGTTCCTTGTTCTCTCACAGAGCTTCACGATGAGCTGGTGGCAGTCGACAAGAGTAACAAGCACACGAGCTACATCTCCGACTACTGGTTCGACATGTATCTCTCTGACCGGCAGCCGATCGTGCTAAACTACAATCCCTTCATCTCGTTTGTGGACGATCCGAATCCCGCTCAGATGGGACAGGTGAGCATTCCTGACAAAAGGCAATTGCCAGCAGGCCCGAAGGCCAAGGGTGCTAGTTCGAAAATTATATGGAGGTGTCCGTTCTATGAGAGTGGCGAGCACAGGTTTGACATCTATGAGGATCAGCCGCCTTGGCGAAATTTCATTGTGACGGTTTATCACGTGCTGATGCCGGAGCGTCGACTTGGCGGTACTTTGTCGATGAGCAGCGTTTTTAGAGTGCTCTGTTGCAACGCTGATTGGATGGCGCTGCCGTGTTTCAGCTGACGCGGGCGACCAACATGGTGGTGTCGGCGGCTCGCTTTCTCAAGTCTCAGCGCGCCGGAATTCTCGAACCAGAGGTGTTCCATCTCAATCCGAAAAAGAGTGACACAAAGTCGTTCAGGAAGGTCATGAGGTGGGTTCCCTCGTTCCTGTGATATTTGAACTTTGACCCTTGACTCTCGAACTTTAAGGTTAGCAATCGGAGATCGGGTGGGTTCCCTGGTTGTCGTGATGTGCCCTTCACCTCTAAAGTTGAAAGTCGGCTGGTGATTAGTGTGAAACATGGGCAAGCCCATCCTGGTATGGACATGACATGGCATTCGATTCTGCCATAAAGCGATTTTAGCTGAGCCCTAGCAACCGGACACATGTGGAGATAGAAATGGGCCCATCAATTCTTTTCAGGTTTTCAATTTCCAACGTTCAGTTCCGTGTGAAAAATTGTGTTTTTTGTATTAAGTAATTTTTGGAAATTAGTAATTCTACCTTTTGCTAAAAAGGAGAAGTGAGACCAATAATGATGATCATACTTTTTTGCAGCTGGCTTCCAAGTAGGGTGTCTTGGTATGGTGCCTTTCTCTACAAGGTCTTTCCACTTGACATGAGTCAATTTGCAAGTCTATTTAATTCCACTCGCATTCCATGCTACGGAAAGGATGAGCTATTACGTGATGAAACAGCAGGCCACCTGGTGGTGATGAGGAATGGCAATTTCTATGCATTCGACATCTTGGACAAAGATGGTAGGAATAAATGTGCATTCCTCCCCTATCTGAATATTATAATTATATCATGTAATGTTATAATATCATGTCGAATAATGTGAAATTAATCCAGTATCCTATATCTATTCTAATCAAAATATGAGATCCTGCACTGTAGTTTGAAGAGTTACAAAAATATCTCACTATTGAGTTGTTTTCCTAATTGATAGCCCTATAGACCCATTCATTTCTGTCCCGCTGTGCATTCACATGTTGTCTCTTGCTGTGTGGTAGGTCACATACTGCCACCGGACGAGATCCACGCCTGCCTGGCCCACATTCTAGCAGACCGCACACCGACCCCCGCCCATCCCCTGGGATACCTGACGACGGAAAACAGGAATACGTGGGCGTCTGTCCGGGAGAAGCTGATGGTCGCTGGCAACCACGAAGCCCTCAGGTGAGAACCGGGAAGGTGCGCCGTCACTCACAGCGCCCTCTATAGTGCAAACTTCCCGAAAAGAGTCGAGGCACTTGAAATTTGATGTCTTAAAACAATGTGATCGAATTTCATTTTATTGTGTAAAATAATTGAATTCAGAGTTTAATGCAAAATAGTTACTCAAAGCGAAGAACTGTGAAGCAAGGAACTGTCATAAATTAATTTAATTTTATAGATAGCAATGCATTTGGACATTATTTTTGTGATAATTCCTCTCGCTCTGTCTCCGTCCGGAACAAGCGGCTGTACGTACAGCCGTTGGTGCCCATTGTGATTAGTTTGGCTGGTTTCCACGGTAACGCATGTTCTTGCTGGCTTGCAGGTTGGTTGACACGGCGGTGTTTACGTTGTGTCTGGACAATGAGAGTGTCACCGATCCCGTGGAGATGGTTAAGACGTTTATCCACGGCGACGCGGCGAACAGGTGAGTCGGCAGTGCGAGAACGACGTATCCCTCGCGTCACCTCCACGGACTAGCTCGTATTTGGTTTTTTCAGCTCGCATTTTCGGGTCATCTTGTGAGCATTTCAGCTTACCAGCCAGTCGTTAGTAAATGAATTAATGATAATAGGGCACTGCAAAATCTCTTTATTTCCGCTCCCAAAGTCTTTCATTACTGTCCTCAGACTCTCTCCCTCCCACCGTCAACTCCCAACTTCGTTTCCTTACAACTGTCAACCTCTCTCCCTCAAACCCTCAACCTCTCTCCCTCCCACACTCGACCTCTCTCTACACTCAACTCCCAACCACTCGCCCTCCAATTCCCAACCTGTTGCCCTCCAACTCCCAACCTTTCTCCTCCCAACGCTCAGCCTCTCTCCTTTCAACTCTCAACTCCAAACATCCATCCCATGCCTTTCGATTTCTCGACTCGTCACGCTCGTCCGTCTCGCAGGTGGTTCGACAAGAGCTTCTCGCTCATCGTGTGCAAGAACGGCAAGGCGGGGCTGAACTTTGAGCACTCGTGGGGCGACGGCGTCGCCGTGCTCCGATTCTTCAATGAGCTCTTCAAGGACACGACGCAGCGCCCCCGCGTGCATCCCGGCTCGCCGCCCGCCAAGATCGACCCCACCCAGCGCGTGTCGCGCGTAGGTGAGTGCGCCGGGGACGGGGTGATGTCACTCCGAGGTCAGCTAACGTCCCCCATGCATTTAACACCACCCATGCTAGCTAACACCACCCATGCTAGCTAACACCACCTATGCTAGATAGCACCACCCATGCTAGCTAATATCCATGCTAGCTAACGTCCCTCATGCATTTAACACCACTTGTGCTAGCTAACGTCCCCCACGCTAGCTAACACCACCTATGCTAGCTAACATCCCCCATGCTAGCTAATATCCATGCTAGCTAACAC